AATCCGGAAATCGGTGAACCCATGGGTGTTCCTTTCACCTGTTCGTAGATTTCACCGTCGAATTCGAAGTATGTTTGTAGGCATAGTTCCATCAGCTAGCAGATATATTTCTTATCCAGTGTGTGGTGTATCTGTCGTTCTCCTAGAACAAACATACTTCGGATTCGACGGTGAAATCTACGAACAGGTGAAAGGAACACCCATGGGTTAACCAATTTCCGGATTCATTGCTGAAGCGGTAATGCAAAAACTCGAAAGGCAATTATTTCAGGTTAAAAATTACGTCGTTCAAGATTTCGTTGTGCTTGAGAATGACAAAAGTGATCTCGAAGCTTAGGTTTATGGGAATTAGTTATAATCAGCCTCTGTAGCAGTAACGTTTCGCGATGCATATGTATCGTTTTGATGATAAGCAGCCCTACTGTCGTCCGGTTCAATACCACTCCTAGCCTATCGGGGCCTTATGTGGTTCGCCACTCCAGGTCCCGGGGCTTAGGTTGCCGGTTTTCACCACTGAACAGCAGATCCTCGTCTGCTGTTCGTCACACTTAGGTGTGTAATAAAAAGAAATCTACACATCATTTTGTGCTTAAAAGAATTGATAACAGTCTTATTGGCGATTTATGCGTTCCCGCAGTTAACTTCTTAAGATCATCGCGTTGAGCATTGTTTCTCGGTTTTCGAAGCTGATACACCGGCAATCCACAGTGATTGGTCGTTTTATTTCCTCTTAGTTGTTAATCTTCTGCAACACAACAATGGTTGTTTCTCAAATCTCTGGGGTCTGACAACACATTCTGCAGCTGACCGGAAATGGCTGTTTCTTGTTCTCGTCGTCCGTCTGTAATGATGGTATTGTTTTCATAGGTAAGGCACTCCTTCAATTCAAGAACGCGGATCATAGGGTCTCGTTTTTTCATGACTGTATCTTCAGTCACATTTGGTCTGAACATCTTTCATTTGTCTGTATCTAATTAAAAAATTAAAATTAATTAATTCTTCAATTCTTTCCCTTATTTCAGAAAAATGATCCACAGAAATTAGCTAGCCAGATGCGCGATTTCCAGAAAGAGGTTCAAAAACTTAACATGAAAGAAGAAATGATGGATGATGTGCTAAATGATTTCGACCCGACCGACGCGGATGCGGAAGATGCGGTAATCGATGAAGTTCTCTCCTCGCTATCTATTGACGTGAACAAGCAACTGGATGCAGCTAGTGTTCCGAGCAACACTTTACCATCGGATAAAGAATCTGTCGATTTGAGCGACCTGGAAAAGCAACTGGATCGATTGCGCAACTAGGTCTCCCGGTGTGCACTCGACGCTTTAGAACACACCTTTGATTGGATAATGACACCTTTCTATTTTTCCTTTCAAGAACTGACAACATGGAGTTGCTAACATT